CTAGCAGTGTTCTTCATCAGTTGAAGTGACTGTTGCCCACCACAGTGCCATTCCTTATGGGAACTGCTAGTCCTTCCCAACTCAAGTTTTCTCCATGAGCTCTTGCTTCACTGGTACCCACAGCCCTTTGATGGAACCCATCTCTTCCTTAAAGTCCTCTGCACTCCTTTCTGCCACCTTTGCTCATATTCATGTGGTTGTCAGCTTCCATACTTTGTGTATTACACTATTTGAGGCTTCTCCTGATAGTCCAGCTCACAGAGTCATGTGCTTAGATGAGAATTGCAACTTTGATTTAAAACCAGATGTGTCTGTCCCTTGCAGTTTTAGGGAAAAAAATGAAAACACATCCTCTATAGGTTTTAACACTAGAAGACAAACATGGGGAAATTGAAATCCTTTGGTTTTGAAAACAAAATTATCTGTGACTGTGAATATCTCAATGTTAGCAACACAAGACACATAAATCTGTCTTTCAGGATCACCTCTGTGAAATCTTCTCTGCTTTATAAGTAAAATCTATATGCATAGTTCCTATTATTGCTTTGTGAAGTTTGGGATTCATGTACCCTACTATTATTAAGTCCAAAATTACTGCAAGCTGTTTAGACAAGATCCAGCCCAAGGTAGCCTATAGGCCTCTGTCAAAAGTTTCTTTGCTTGTTTAGATTTTAAAGCCTAGGCCATGGCAGAGTGTCCCCTCTGCCATGTGCCGAACTTCTACCTAAACTAAAGCATTGCCTTTCTCCTTAAAACTTTGCCACCCCTTCCTATCCATTTGCCTGCTTTGATCATTCTGATTTCTTATCTAACCCCATTCTTTCATTTCCCACTGGTGCTGCAGATCTTTTCTCATCAGCTGATCCTGAGTTCCCTAAATACACATTTACCCTTATATGCACGTGCAGGCACACACACGCACGCACACACACACACACACACACACACACACACTGACACAAATAAATAAATAAATAGAAAGGTCAGTGAGCAGAGCAGCAATAACCCCTAAAACAGTACTATCAGAGGGACATGATTGATCAATTGAATTCCATAGCGGCTCAAAAATGTGGGATTAAGTAGTGTATTATACGCACAATGAGTTGAGGCATGATGTTCATTTCAAGTTCATTTCGCCAGCCCTCTGCCACCAGATCAGGCAATCAATAGGGGCAGCAGATATCATATATCACCTCTCTCCGTGCTAGGCAGAGAGCACCATAATCTCTCGCAAATTTAGAGTGACAGATTTGTCAAGATCTGAAGGGCCCCTGAATAAATGAAGGAAAAGAGACTCTTACAGTGACTCGGGAAAGCTGTGATTTCAGCTTCTTCACACAAAGGCATGGCCAGTGCACACACAGGAGACGTGCACAGGGCTCTGAAGGCAGACAAGAATTGCAAATACGTGTGCATGTGTGTACTAAACTGTGTAACCACCCAGGGCAACTCACTAAGGGTAAAATCTAGTTTAATGACAGTCAGTGGAAGTTGTACTGTACACCCATCCACTCACATCAAACACCATGCAAAGTGTAGGGCTGCCATCCTTGAAAATCAAATATAGCCGAAATCAGCTGCCACAGACAAACACCTGCTCAGACATGTATGGTGATGCAGAATCTAAAGAATACCAGAATAATTATCTACTGCAAAAATACCCATGTATATTAGCATCATGGTGTGCACAGCCATGCACACTGACTGGTATATGTGGAAAAATCCTCAAAGGCCAACAGCTTCACAGACTGCAGACAAGTTGAGGCAAGCACTGATAAAGGAACATACATTTTTTTCTGAATCTGAACCCAGGAGTTCTGTGCCAGCTTTCTGCAGGGAGGATCAGAGCTCCCCTAGTCCTCCTGAAAGCCACCCCCTGCAGCCCAGTCCATCTAAAACATGAAAACTGCACTGACACACAGAGTGTTCATTCCACCAAGCCTGATCTTTGCTTTGTTTTCTCTTAGTCAAATCTGTCATGGACTCCAGATTTCAGGAACCTGAGAACTTTCCCTTGTGCAAATAAGCCTGTGGAGAGGAGAAAATGCCAGGGATCAGTGCCAGTAAACAGCCGTGCTCTGGCTTGGGGTGGAAAAGAAAGAGAGAAGGGGCTGCTCGAGGGAAGGCTGCTGGCAGGGACAAATCAATATGTAATATTTTCTATGGTCTTGCGAGTGGTACTGTACTACGTTACTGTATATAATGTACTATTGATTATATCATATCATATAATCACCTATAAACGGATATATCTCATAGCCAGAAGGCAGCAGGCTCAGTCATAACTCTGGGCCACCAGTTGGGCATTAAGTGTGCCAGGAAAATACCCATCTTGGCACCATCCATGAGCTAAAAGAGGAAGCAGTGGAGTGGCATTGTTCTGGATGTTGCACAATGAATGTCACTCCAGGCTCCTGGGAGCATCATGTGTCCATGAGCACCTTACGACTGCATGGAGCAAGGAAAAGGTCTATACAGATCCCTCAACCTATTTCTTGACAGACAGCAAGTTTCTGAGATTCAGAGGCTGAAGTTCATGAAGAAAGGTTTAAGTATGAGGAATAATAATAAAAAAGCAGGAAGATAGTCACAGCACAAGAGGGAAGACCTGATCTTAGGTTAGACAGGGTGATAAGACAGTCAGGCTTGTGTCTGATGAAGCACAGTAGGTAGAGATTCAGTATGGAGGGTACAGAGGTATATCAGCATGGATGAGGCAGGGGATTATAACCAGGCTCACCAAAGTTAGGCTGAGATGTGACAGCAGAAAGATACTCAGCACAGCTGGAGAAGATTATAATGAGCAGACTTGCCTCAGATGAGATGAGGGATTATGACAGAGGAAGATTCACTTCAGCTGGGACAGGAGGTTATAACAGACAGACTCACCTTGGATGTGACAGATGCTAATAGCAGGAGACTCACTCACTTGAGATAAAAAGGGGTTATAACTGAGATAAATACACCTCATTTGGGTTGGGGCATAACAGGGAAAAAGAAAAAAAAACAAAACCAGGCAGGTGATCAGACGGTTTATCACAGGGAAAGATTCACTTTGGATGGGGCAGGGCATTTATAATGGACTCACCTCAGAGGGGATGAGTGGGCTGAAAGAGATGTGGGATGGCACAACAGAGAGACAGACACCTGGAACATGGCAGAAGGCACTGTAGTGAGACTGGACTGTGTCAGAGGGCTGTTGCAGGGACAGAGATCCACTTCTGGGGAAACTTCTTCCAGAAAAACGCTATTTTCCTAGTAAGAACAAAGAAATACCAGGAAGGCTGGAATCTAGGACTAGGTTTTGTAGTACAATAATTCATTTTGGATAAGAAGGGGGACTGACAGAGAAAAAGATTCATCTCATTTTGAAGGAGTTTTATAACAGAGATATGGTTTGTGATAAATCACGAGCTATATGTAGGCAAATGGGACAGAAACCAACGTATGTTGGATGGGACAGATGCTCCATAAGGACAGGTTTGTCCCTGATGAAACATGGAGTCAGAAACAGGATTGTTCCTGTTATCTGAGGGGGATGAAAAGACTCATCTGGGGTATGATCAGATGAGAAGGCAATTTTAACAGTGACAGCTTCTCATGGGACTGTGGAGTTACAACAGAGACTGACTCCCTTTCAAGCTGTAAGAGAGCCTTTTTTCCATTACAGTCTTCCTCAGCCCTCTCTGGCACAGTCCATCCTCAGCACTCTGGTTTCTCTATGAACTACCTCTCTAGTAGTCTTCTAGCGATGCTAATCGCTGTGCTTTGCTCCCATTTTATGCTCAGCAATGGAGATTTGGCAATTTTTAACACTGAAAATCAGCGGAACCGAAGCTCATCTCTGAGCCAAGCACCATTCTCCACAGCCTCACTCATCCTGGGCAAGAGAGTCCCACAGAGCCCACAGGAGCGGTCTGGCTGCTCTGGCAGAGAGGAGGAGGCTTCCCTTGGGTCCCTGCAGCCTCCCCTTCCCTCAGAAGTGGCACAGCTAC